AATCATGTTAACTGTATAGTATCATATTGTAAACAAGTCATTACAAGCACATATTCCTACCTATGCATGCTGGACTTCTCATCAATGCAGTGACATGTTCACCTGCTAACACTTGCTTGTTAAGGCCTGTCAGCAGACTTGACCACTGATCTGTTATAACTTGCATTTTGTGTGTTTATTTGGAAAATAATATAATCACTATGACTTTAGCTCTGTTCTTCAACAGATGAGACATGTACAAAAGTTTTTTCAGAATTTTCTTCTCTTCTTTCCTTATGCTTCCACTGCCTCCTTATTTTTATTCAATACCCCCCAATTACACCTGAAGCTACTACTGTCCTCCTGGATCATTCCAACACTCCCCAGGGGGCAATATTGCCTACTTTGGGAACCTATGTGGCCTAGACTAACAATACTTAAGGAAGTATTTCTATCTTTCACCTTCTATCTTTCTATCTTTCTATCTTTCGCCTTCTGCTTCCCTTCCAGGCAGTAATTAAGGTCTCCTTTGGAGAAGGAGGAGAGAAAGAGAAGAGGCTAGAGAGTCCAGGACTGTTCTGTTTTGTTTTTGTTCCCTGAGGGCAGTCCATTGTTTTTGGAATGAGGCTACTTGAATACCTCTTTTTAGCCCAATTTGCCTCAGGCTTTTATGTCCTGTCTACTAGAAGCTTGTTCAGAAGGGGTTTAAACAGTAATTGTTTTCTACAAATAGCTTAGCTTTCTGTTAGGATGCTAACAATTTTTTATGAGATATTTTGAGAGTTTTCCCAGACAGATTATGTGTGTGTGTGTGTGTATATGGTGGTGAATCCTAAGGTGGTATCCTTTGTCTCATTTCTTGTCTACCCTTTTCATTTGAATGGGTGTTGCCTCAGGCAAGTAATCTGACACCTGGGGAACTTCCTTCTTGACTAAGAAAGTTTCAAGTCAGTTTTTCTTTCAGAAGGGAATTTTGTCTGTCATTTCTAAAAAACATAGTTTGTTTGTATTCTTTTTCTTTCATTTTTCTTCATAGGAAGTATTTGTTTTTTTTTTCCATCACAGATAATTTTATTTTTCCTGTTTATATCCTGGAATTGTGTTTTAATGTAATTTTAATTCTTCTTTTATTGTTTTATAGAGTAACTTGGTTTTATCCTAATGTTGTGCAGTTGCCAGAAATCATTGATTTCATATATTTCTTAAAATGTTCTATTAATTGTGTGGAATAAGGCTATGAGCTGACCTTGTCTGATCCCAGAGCTATAAATTGCCTGAGGGTGATCAAAACTAGTAAAAAATTAAACTATGGATTGGGAAAATGGGAACATTAATTCATTGTTGGTGAAGCTGTGAACTGATCCAACCATTCTGGAGAGCAATTTGAAACCATGCCCAAAGGGCTATAAACATGTGCATACCCTTTGACCCAGCAATACCACTTCTAGGTCTATATCACAAAGAGATCATACAAATAGGAAAAAGACCCATATTTATATTTACAGCAGTTCTTTTTGTGGTGGCAAGGAATTAGAAATTGAGGGAATGCCCATCAATTGGGGAATGGCTGAACAAATTGTGGTGTAAGAATGTAATAGAATACTATTATGCTATAAGAAATGATGAGCAGGCAGACTTCAGAAAAACCTGGAAAGACTTATATGAAATGATCCTGAATGAAGCGAGCAGAACCAGAATATTATACACAGTAACAGCCATGTTGTGTGATGACTAACTTTGATAGTCTTTTCTCTTCTTAGCAATGCAAGGATCCAAGACAACTCCAAAGGACTCATGATGGAAAATGGCTGTCCACATCCAGAAAAAGAGCTATGGAATCTGAATGCAGATTGAAGCATTTTATTTGTTCTCTCTCTCCTTTTTTTTCTTTGTTTCTTCTTTCTCATGGTTTATCCTATTAGTTCTAATTCTTCTTTACAACATGACTGATGTGAAAATAGATTCAATGTGAATGTATATTTGAGCCTATATCAGATTGCATTGCATCCTGGAGTAGGAGGAGGGAAGAGAGGGGGAGAAAATTTGGAACTCAAAATCTTATAAAGTGAATGCTGAAAACTAAAAACAAATAAATTAATTTTAAAAAAAGAAAACTATAGGAATCATTTAAAAAAAAAAAGGAGCCCACCATTCTGACCTGAAGTCACCACTCTCAAGCCTCCCTAGCCTTCTGTATGGACTTTCAGTTGTTATACCAAACAACTTATATAATAGCTTCTCTAGGCTGTGCCTTCCATGAGACTCCATCCCTGTTGAAATGTATTTAAACTCTGTGCCTCTCTCCCCTCATAAGAATGCTTGTCCCTTGGTGCTGTGTGGTGACCCCAGATTACAACACCCTTGTCTTGATTAAAAGATTTTTTGTTGTTGCTACCATGGTAATTTTCTTTAATTCAAGTTGACAATTACTATATATTGATTTATGAAAAAAGTCATTGGTATTGTTTTCATGATCTGAATTCACATGTTTTACTATACTATGTATCATTTAACCCAATAGTCCATTGTTGCTATAATACTGTATGTTTATTAATGGCATTAATATGTGTATTAATGTGGGCATATGTGGAGAAATCTCTAAAAACAAGGTGGGGAGCTAAGGTAATTGAATGGTACTGTCTTGCTTTTGCAGTTTAAAAGCACAAAGGTCTGCTAATATTATAAGAAAATCTAGGACTTAAGAATGAGGACATTTTAAGGATATTGGGCAGAAAAGACTCAAAGAAAGAACAATCAAGGGCATTAATGTTAAAGGCAAGTGAGATGACACAGGAAGAGTTTTTAATCCTCTCTGAGAATTTTGACCACAGAGATATACCTGAGTAATTGACAGTAGGAAGCTATTCCTGAGAATTTCAGATTTGTCCATCATCTGAGGATAAGCACTGTTTAAAGAGATAGGAACCCTTCTAATCAAAGGAGGAATTCTTACAGAGAAACTGAATGTCCCAATGAAATCCAAGAACTCCACTTCATTTATGATTAAAGTAGAGGTCATACCCACTGTGGTTATACATAGACCCCAAATCAGTGTTTTCTTTGGACACGAACCATGTTCCCCAGAAGAACAAGCTTTGGTGAATGGGGCTAGACAAGCAAGAGTGCACATGGGACATTGGAAGGTCCCTGAGCTAGATAAATGATCAGACCAATAGCTAGTGATCAGCTCAATAGCAATACCTATGGAGGAGAGCTGCAGTGGCAATGGATATTTTCAAAGATTAAGTAAAGGCAGGAAGGGGGAAGGGAAGACAAGGGAAGGCAAGGGAAGGCAAGGGAATGAGCATTTATATAGTGTATACTATGTACCATGCACTGTGCTAAGCATGAATATATCCAAATATTAGCTGAGATATTTGAGGCAAGTGGATCAGAAGACCCCAGGCTAATTTTGACTCTAATACTGTGAGGTACAAAGGAGAAAAGCCTACATGACCCTCTTGCTTTTGATGTCACCAGATCTATGCAGACACAGAAACTACTGTCAATGGTGTCCCAGTTAAGACAGACATGCCTGAGTTCAATATAACCCATGAGGCTCAGCCTCAGCAGGCTCCAGGTCTTCTCAAGTGTGCACCACAGAAGCAAAGCGGGGAGTTGGGCCACGAGTGAAGAGCTGCCCTCAGTGGGTCAGGGGAGCCTCCTTTGGCTCATACATACTCAGAAAGTCTATGTCTTAAAACTGGCCAGGCTATCAGTCTTTTTCCTGCTGGATACAGAAGCCTAGGTACCATGAACTAAACCACTCTTCCTCTGCTCTCTCTCTCTCAGTCTCTCTCAGTCTCTGTCTCTGTCTCTCTGTCTCTCTCTTTCCTTTCTTTCTGTCTCTGTCTCTCTCTTCCTTTCTTTCTGTCTCTGTCTCTGTCTCTGTCTCTCTCTCTCTCCCTCTTTTATCCTGTCTCTGAGAAATAGACCTGGGGGTGTTTATTTCTGTAAGATGTCAGTTTGGCTTCAGTTTTAGCTGCCAGAGGTGATGTGAAATGTATCATCTATGGCCTTCAGTCAGTGGGGGCCATTGCTGTCAGAGTTATATCTGGGGCCTTGTCTGGGATAAATTAGGCCCTCTGCCTTTGCAGGGAACGATTCCCTGACTGGAGATTTTTGTTTTAGATAACCCTAGACTGTGAAATGCTAGAACAATTTGGCAATTTTTTTAAAATCACTAAATGTACAATCCAATTTTTTTTTCAGTGAGTGTTCCCTCTCAAGTTAGTTCTATTGGTATGATTTTGCAAACTTCTCATGCATTGATTGCTTCACTGTTAAAGATGAAATTCTGCAAACTATTCACTTACTGATTACTTGTCTGTTCAAGTACTGATACTTCTTTGTATTACAAAATTCTGCATAAAATTGGATATACTGATTCATTCTATATTACTGAGTCCTGTATAAGTACTGATATTAAGTTTGCTGGGAGAAATTAGGAATCACTAGATTGCTACAGTCTAACAGAAATGTTCCTATTGTTATTTTAACATTTAAACAGATCTGGATGGCTTGCCTTCATCTTATCCTTTTACCCATTTGAACACAGATGCATTCCTCAGTGCTAAAATTAGCATCTTTGAGGAAGAGAAATTTTAAGCTGTAACAATGTAAATTTAGGGCATTTTAAATAAGGCATAGGTAACCTGACCCTTTCACTTACTACCTGCACATAACCTAGGACAAGTCCCAAACTCTTCAGGTCTCTGTTTCCTCATCTTTAAAATGAGAGGGTTGGAATAAGTGACCTCTTAGGTCCTTTCCAATTTTAAATATATAAGCATATAAAATCCTATAAACTTTATCTCATCTTTTAAAAAATAGGAAGAAACAAAAAAGAAAAAGCCAAAGAAATATTCTCTTCCCTTAAAAAAAAAACCTTCATCCTACAAACTCCATGAAGCATATTAAGCTATTAAATCAGCTGAATAATTTTCCCACTTACCTCATTGTCACAAGCATTTTATTTATCTTAATTAAAGAGCAAATAAAAAGAGGCACCTACTTTGGACCAGCAGATATGTGCTATCGATATGCGATTGGGTTGGAAAATGACCACAGTCTCTGAAATATTTAAGGAGATCTTGTTTTGGAATCCCTTTACAATACTCCCTCTTGGCAAACATGATTTCATAAACTTTAAAAAAAAAAGAAAGAAAAAGGAGAGAAATATTTTCTTTGGTGAATAACCAAATCAAATAAAAATCACTTCAAATCTCACCTAGTAGTTGAGTAGTTTGTAAATTTCCATTAAATCTTCCTGCCTTTGGGAAAAAAAAAAATACTTCCAAGATATATTGTCATGAGTGAGTGAAATAGTCTTCTAGTTCTGTACTTTCTTACCTGTGTATCTTTTTTTGCTGTCTGACCACCATAACTACTACACACTGCCTTCTCTTCTGACCTATTGAAAGTTTTCTTGTTCCTTCAAAGTCCAGATCAGGTAACACTTCTTCCACTGAAGTGTTCCTGATCTCCCACCCTTCCCATCCCTCAGCTTAAAATAATTTCTTCTTCCTTTAATTTTCTTAGAGTAGTTATTTGTGTAATGGTTCCTTACTAAATGCATACTTAAAATTTACAATTTACTAATACTCAAGACTTACACTAATTTTTTTTTAAGTAGCATCATTACTAGTTATAAGTCGCTGTGCTAAGTGTTGGGTAAATAAAGACAAAAATGAAACCATCTTTGGTCTCAAAGAGTTTACATCTACAACACACTTCATTCTGCTTCCCAATAGAATATGAAATTCTGCAGGATAATTTGCTCTTCTTTTTTGTCTAACAAAGTGCTTTGCAGGTAGTGGGTGATTAATAATTATTTGCTGAACCCAGCAAAACTGAGTATAATCCTTCAGGGGAAAAAATAGTCATTCAGTGAAATAGGGGACTTTCAAGCATTCTTGATGAAAAGACCAGAGCTGAATAGAAAATTTGACTTTCAAATACAACACTCAAGTAACATGAAGAGGTAAACAAGAAAGAGAAAATCATAAGAGACTTATTAAGGTTGAATTGTTTACATTCCTGCATGGAAAGATGATATTTGTAACTCATGAGACATTTGTCAGTATTAGAGTAATTGAAGGGAAAAAAATTATATGTATGTATATATTCAAATAGATAGATAGAGGTTACAGGGTGAGTTGAAGATGAAGGGGTGATATATGGAGAATAAAATTAAGGGGTGAGAAAGGATTATACTGGGAGAAGGAGAAAGAGAGAAGTAGAATGGGGTAAATTATCTCACATGAAACAGACAAGAAAAGGCTTTTACAGTGGAGGGGAAACAAGGGAAGGTGAGAGGGAATGAGTGAATCTTATTCTCATAGGATTTGGCTTAAGAAGCAATAATATACACACTCAATTGGGTATGGAAATCTGTCTTATCCTACAGGAAAATGGGGGGGAAGGGGACAAGAGAGCAGGGGCATGATAGAGGGGAGGGCAGATTGGGACAGGGGGGTATCAGAAGCAAACATTTCTGAGGAGGGACAGGGTCAAAAGAGAGAATGGAATAAATGGGGGGCAGAATAGGATTAAGGGAAATATACTTAGTTTTTCACAACATGACGACTATGGAAGTGTTTTGCATGACTACACAAGTATAACCTGTATCAAGTTGCTTGCCTTTTCAATGAGGGTGGGTGGGGAGGGAGGCGGGGAGAAAATTTGGAACCCAAAGTTTTAAAAACACATGTTAAAAAAATTGTTTTCATATACAACTGGGAAAAAAGAAATACAGGAAATGGGGTATAGAAATCTATCCTGTCCTACAGGAAAATAGAAGGGGAAGGGGATAAGAGAAGGGGGGGGAGAGATAGAAGGGAGGGCAGATTAGAGGAATGGGTATACAGAATGCATGCCATCTTGGGGTGGGGGGAGGGATGGGATGGGGGGAAATTTGGAACTCAAAATCTTGTGGAAGTGAATGTTGAAAACTAAAAATTAATAAATAAAAATTTAAAAAGAAAAATAATAATTATTTGCTGAAATAAGAATTTGCATCAGTTGAACTCACTCTTTGCCTTTTCTAACCACCATTTCACTGGGTACTGCCTACCTCACTAAACTAAAAAGCAGTCAGTGTTTTTCTCCAGAATGCAAAAGTAGTATCTGCTCTTTCCTCAGTATGCATGAATAAGAAGTATGGAAAGAGCTGAATCTTCTCTCAATATGAATACTTGTGGGGTTTTTTAGCTGAACACCTCAAATTTCTAAACATTGAAATTATTCAGGGTATCACTGCCAAAGCATCACTACAGAATTTGTTCCAAGTCATTCTCCCCTTTGGTAAGAAGAGCACTCGAGGTCAGTGACTGGTTCACAAACTAGTTCAGGCAACTAAATAGAATCACTAGTTTTCAACCATAATGGCAGCTATTCTATATTAATTGGATTGGCTTGTTGACAGGTTATGTGGGCTGTTTCTATAAAATTTTTTTTTAAATAAGTAAAGATTTTTTTCTAAAATGCTGGCATCTAAAAAAATACAAATAACAAAATGTATTCATAAATAGATCCACATGATTGCATTTCAACAACCAACATTTTACATTTCATGTGCCTATTAATTTTCTATTTTCAAATAAGCTGAGAGTACCACTTGTCATTCTTATGTTTGGGAACATTAAATGTGTAATGGCAAGACTGCTGGATTATAGTCTGAGGATTTGGTTTTGAATGCAAACTCTGCCATGTGCTGCTTACGAGACTATGGATAAGTCATAGAGATTGGTTGGCCTAAATTTCTAAATCTGCAAAATTAAGAGGTTGCTCTGATACTTAAAGAGCCTTCTAACACTAAATTCCATTATCCTAAATACCATTTCATCTATTATCAGTTTGTTTATTGAGGAACTGCGGGGAATGGAGGCAGACAAAATGGTGAAAACATAATAATGATCCTGAAAGGATTATATGACTGATTGGTAGATGAACCCAGAAGTAATAAAAAGGAAAAGCAGTCTCAGAAAGACAGGGGCAAGACTTCTCTAAAAATATGGTTGTTTTTTTCCTCAAAAGGAAACAATATTTCTCACCCTCAACCTAGATGACCATCACTTTGCTGTTAAAGGTTTTGGTTGGCGGAGAGCAGAAAGAGTTGTACAGAATTAGACCATGCATTTGGTTTGTGAAGGTATACTGTTCAACTGAAAATTCTGGGAAAAATTGTCTCAAAACTTCTCAATTTGTTTTGTTTTGTTTTAATTATTAGAAGTGACCAAGTTAAGTAAAATAACAAAATCGACCCTATTTCCTTGTCAAGAAGCAGTTGGCTGGGTTTTTTGTGTCTTTAACCAACTAATTTGCATATGTTGAAGAAAAAATTAGTCATCCTAGAATATGTTATTCAGTTAAATTGAACTGAGTCAAGAGAATTATGAAATAAGGGGTCCTATGACTGACAGGGAGATAGCTAGATGGTATAATGGATGGAGTGCCCAATCCGGAGTCAAGAAGACTCCTCTTCCTGAGCTCAAATCTGGCCTCAGACACTTACTAACTGACCCTGAACAAATCACTTAACCCTGTTTGCTTTAATTTCTTCATCTGTAAAATGAGTTAGAAAATAAAATGGCAAACTACTCCATTATCTTTGCCAAGAAAATTCCAAAAAAGGGTCATTAAGAGTTGAACATGACTGAAAAATGACTGAACAACCACACCAATGTGATTGACAGACATATGAAATCTTTATAAGGCTAGAGGAAAAGAAAAAAAAATCAAAAGAAAAAAGATATATATATATATTATATAATATGATACATATATTTTATATACATGTGTACATATGTGTGTATGTATATGTGTATATGTATGTGGCTATATATACATATATGTGTGGAGATGTATATATAATATATATATAGTGTGTGTGTGTATATATGTATATATGTGTGTGTATATATATATAATATGATTTCACTTATATTTATTCCTGCCACGTGAAAGTGGTATACCAATAGCACCCATGTATAGTGCAGTTTGGAATACAAATATAAAATTAGAGAGTAAAGGCTGCACTGAACCTCATAGATACAAGCTAGTATTTCCTCTATTTTCCTCTTACTTAAATTCTTATGCAGTCTAAGTAGGGAGGGTCCTTTGATGGGCTTCGTGGGTACATTTCTGTCTCATTAGGTCTCCTTTTCTCCTTTCTCCCTTTTCACATAATTAGTTTCAATGTAACCCCAAAATACCACCTCTAGAAAAAGTTCCTTTTAACTTTAAGGAAATTTTAAGGAAAAGGGCATCTTTAATAGTCTTTTTTTTCCAGAAGCATTTCTTTGTAAAAATTATAGCCTCAAGTTCCTTCCTATCTATGTGCATATTTATTTTATACTGGTCTTGTCCATCCCCCTATTGTTAACATCCCTTGCAGTTATAAATTCTCTACTGAAAGATGATTATAGGCACTGAGACTAAATAATGTGTCTTAATATGAAAAATCCTTTTGCTAAAATACCAAAAGAATATTATTCTTGGTACATACATATTCAGAGTAAATAGACAATAAAGGATGATTAAATAAAATTTTATCAGTTTCTATAAATGGTTACTTAAATGCCTCCTATTAGGCACTACTGTCAGAGAAATCACTAATCAGATTATGCATTGTTTCGAGGTTAAATGATAATGCCATGTACCTGTACTAGAACTTCATAAAGCCCTAGAGTCTAAAGTTTATTTATTCATGTAAGGGTATTTATCTTGGTCACATATATTTCACATGTAATTTCCCATAGAATCTAATAATATTTAGATTAAAATTCTTAATGAAAAGAACCCTTTGGTCTAGGGGAAGGGAACCTGACATGTTTGTGGATTGCGTAGTGTATCTATTTAACCATTCTTTATCTCTCCTATATAGGGACCTTGGATAATTGTGCCATCCTTTGCCAGACAGATTTTTTTCCCATAAAAATTTTTTTATCAAGACCAAAATTTAAACTAGTTATTTTGGCTTAAAAGACTAAAGCCCTTCTTCTAGTTACCGCATGATAATTACATCATCAGACCAAAATATTTAAAAGAAAGCAAAATTTTCTATGTCAGTTTACAAAAGAAAAAACTTCCTCTTCCTAACTCCTACAAATACAATCATAACACACCTTTTTCTACCATGCTGACTTCTCAGAAAAATCCCAAGCACTAAAATGCCAAATGTTTAGCAAAGTTTAAGAAACCTATTTTTAGAACTTCCCCCAAATAAGATGAATATATGTGTGTCTGTGTGTCTATGCGTCTGTGTCTGTGTAAACACATATACCATCTATATGTATGCATATAGATGGTATATGTATGTGTATTCATCTTTATATATACACATATAAGTTATTACCTCTTTGGCATATGGACATTTCAGCTGCTAAAAGTGTGTAGGGTGAGGGGTTGTGGAAGGAAAACTGAGATGATCATCATGAAAAGAAATAGAGCTTTTCAAATAAAATGCTAAGGAAAGACATAGACTATTCTGAGGACTAGTGAGAAAATTTCTCACATAAACATATTGAAAAGACTTGTTTGTGGGTAAAGCAAATACTGAGGTAATGATAGCTGCAGATAAATTATTCTCCATCAGCTCATTTGAATGTGACTTTTCAGAATTTTAAAGATTATAACTGAGAAATTGTAAATCAAACAACTGGAAACTATAGGGAAATGGGAGAAGGAATTAGGGAACCACACCTGTATCTTTGCCAAGAAAAGCCCATGGACAAGTCCATGAGGTCACAAAGAGTCAGACATGAATGAATGACTAAACAACAAAAATAGGAAAATTATAAAGGGACTTCTGAGATTGTATCTGACAGAAAGGTTGGTCTTTTGAGTTTCACATCTTAAGTTTGAGATGGGTCACTGCTAATGAGGAGGCCCTGATTTGAGGCATTGGAAGACAGAAGAGCAGAAAGAAGAAAGGGAAGCTTAGAGCAGAAGGCAGGGACAGAAGGTTCAGGAAACAATGAGAAAAGCTGACAGAATACAGCTAACAGGAGCTCAGCTGACAGGAAGGCTTTGCAGTTGTTTTGCTGAGAGCCATCTTGATTGGAAGAGAGGCAACATGTTTCTGAGAGCTAATTGACTCATTGAAAAAGTCAAATCTTTCCAATGTGTATAGCTTATCTGAACATAATGCTCTCCAGTACCATGTAAAGCCTGAGAGAAGGATAGAGATGGGACAAGGTGACAGCTGGAGGGAGGAAACATCTGGATCTAAGAGAAGCCTTCTAATCCAAACCACCGATTTTGCAGATACGGAAACTGAGACTCAAAAATGTTAAGTGAGTTACTCAAGGTCATATAAGTCATAAGCACAAGCTGTAGAATTCAAACCCTCATTCTCTGATTCCAATCAGTAGTCTGGCTACTGCTGCCTCTCATAATAGCTTTCTGACAAATTTGTAAAGAATTATATTAAAAACCTTAAATAACTATGCAGAAAAAAAAACTAAAGCTCTCAGAATTTTCACATTCCTGCACAGCAATTAAACAGGTCTTTTCCAATGAGCAAAAAAGGTGTGAGGGCTTCTACAAAGCTAGAAGGCGATATTTTTCTATTCCCAATTAATCTAATTTAATGACATCCACTTCATTTTTTTCTTTTTGGTTTCCCTAAGCACAAAACTCTATTATTTATTCTAAGTAATGCAGATATTATGTAAATAAAAATGAAAGTTTGTGTGTTATTAGAATTTTAGGGTGTGACCTGGGGAACTTGGTTTCAGAATAGAATTCCAACAGTGAAAAGTAGTGTTATCTTTATAAAGAAAAGCAGGTCAGTTTACAACCCCATGGAAAATTGTTTGCCTTTTGGTTCTTCTAGAAATTATGTATAAAAATTGAGGCAGGTATAAAAATCATGCACCTGCTATATTTAAAGTAAATCCAAACTAGAATAAATTATGAAACTCGAATCCTTCCTCTCCGAAGTGAAGTAAGAGACTAGAAATGGAAATTCTTGCCTATGCCCTCTGAAGAGTTTGCTGTCACCTGGCTTTGCTTACCTGACTTTGTTACAAAGGAGAGTTCAATATGGGGGTTGAGAGGGTGGAGAAGGGTATGACATGGAGGGGACAGTGGTCAGTGTGAAATGACTGTTGTGTTAAAATAAGACACCAAGAATACTTTTTTTGAAAATGAATACAAGTTAAAATATCAATGCTACTCACATTTTTTTCTGTCCAACCATTCTTCTAGCTCTGAGAAGTTTAAGATTATTCTTGCATTCCGAAGACCAGCTCGGCGCTGAATACGGTCGATCATTCTGCGGTATGCATTTACAACAGCTTTAAAGTTTGGGCCGTGGTCTTTCGCCTGAAATTAGTTATACATACAGTGAAACAACTCACATTGCTACCAAATATATTTACTAAAACTTATCGCTTCCCTTTCCCTCCCTTCCACTGCTTTTCCTAAGTTACTTACATACTAAGTTCACACATCTCCAAGGTTTCTATGGTCTTGAGAAATTAGCCCTGAAGATCAGAGAGAAATTCCCAGGTCCAGGTAAGGGTTTCTATAATGTGCTGAATGTCTTTAGGCTAATTTCTAAGGTAACACTAAGTGGGGGAATGCTAATATGCTTAGTTAATTAAGAAAGTTCTTTTGGCTATCCATTTGAGCAAAGTTCATAAAGACTACTTTATTCAGTATTATAAAATGATTTATTACAGTTGTTTATATACCTTATTAATTTCCCTCAAATGATACTTCATTGTTATTTGTAACATACTAGCCCTTGAAACCACAAAAACAGAATAAAGGTAGGTTTTATTTTGTTCATGGAAATCTTCATCACATAAATATCCAAGATAAAAGATGAAGGGGGCTGAAAAAAAGTAAAATAGATAAATTTCACATTTACAAAGAAAATAATATCGAAAATAAAGAAAGTAGAAGAATACATGCTTACAGAATATTAGAGCTAGAAGGCAGCTTAAAAGTCCAGTTCCATCATTTTATAGATGGAGAAACTGAGGATCAAAGAGGTTATATGAATTCCTCAGTATCATACAGCTAATAAATAATTATGTCCATGTGGAATTATATCCCTTGGTATACAAGAGTAATGTGTTTATGAAAGGAAAAAATGGATAATTTTTTAAAACTATTATTCAAAATTCAGTAACATGGGAATAGAAGCAGAGAAAGCAGATGGTGGGGGTGATTCTTCCCTGTGTATATGGTAGGACAGGAATTCAATAGTGTCAAAGGTGGTTGGGGTCATGGAGAGTTGGACTTCCCATAGGAGTCAAGAATATTAAAGAAGAAAACTAAAGCCAGAGCAAGGATGAGGGACTAGGAGAAAAAGGTGGAGTAGAGGGACAGTAGATTTTAACTGAAGAAAAAAAACATGGGTTTAGAAGTAGTGAGACTAATGGAGAGGTGGAAGGTCAAGAAATACACATAAAGTGTCCCAAAAGTCTTCTTAGAGCTTTAAGCTTTAATTACTTTAGAAGAATAGATGCTAAAATCATTTATATTTTAAAAATAGAGTACTTGTTAAACTTCAACATAACTACTGTTTGTACACTATTGTAGGCAATTTGAAAATTTTCAACATCTGCTGTTCAGTGACTGAAAGGATTGCATTTATAATACCATAGTCTTAATAATCCAAATAACAAGGTTTTGATGCATACATGACAGTTTTGACATGACTCCATAAGAAAAAGTGTAATGGAGGTAGATCAGATGACTGAGGTGACCAAGCAAGAGAATCTCCTCTACCAATCCACCAGGTTGAGAAACTATGATCTGGAAAATGTTATACATGCAACAAAATAATAACAGGGCATTCCATCTTGTTAAAATTAAAATTTTTAAATGCATTCATAAAAATTCACAAAACTAAATAAGTATAAAAGAATTTAAATAACTAAACTTTCAAAGGATGTTTTTATAAGTTTATAGCATTTATATTAATGAAATTATTAAAGCTTAAAAGTTGACTAAGACTTTTGGAACAAGAGTGTATACACACACGCACACACACACACACACACACACACACACACACCCCACCATATTAAGAACTGGTCATACAAAAGAGGCAAAAGACAATCCCTGACCTAAAATGAACCTACAATCTAATGGGGTAGACAATATTAAAACAAAGATATTTGCATAAAGCAAGCTATATACAAGATGAATAGAAAATAATTAACAGAGAAAAGACATTGGAATTAAGGGGGGTTGGGGAAGGATTCCTTTAGAAGGTGGGATATTAGTTGGGACTGAAAGGAAGCCAGGGAGGTAAGTAGTCAGAGCTGAGGAGGGAGAGCATTGCAATCATGGGAAATAGGCAGAGAAAATGCCTAGAGACAAGAGATGGATGGAGTATCTTGTTCATGGAACAGTCAGAGGCCAATGTCACTGGATTGAAGAATATATGTGGGGAAGTAGGTGTATGAAGACTGGAAAGGTAGGAGGGGACTATGTTATGAAGTGCTTTGAATGCCAAATAAAGCAGTTTGTATTTGATCCTAGAAGTGATAGGAAACCACTGGAGTTTATTGAGTAGGGTGGTGACATGGTTGGACCTGCACTTTAGGAAAATCACTTTGGTGGCTGAATGGAGTATGGATGAGAGTGGAGAGAGACTTGAAGCTAGCCAACCCACCAACAGGTTACCGCAACTATCCAGGTATGAGGTGATGAGGGCCTGCACCAAAATGGTAGCAGTGTCAGAGAAGAGAAGGAAGTGTATTCAAGAGATGTTGGAAAGGTAAAATCATTAAGTCTTGGCAACAGATTGGATATGAGGGTGAGAGATAATGAAGAATACAGGTTGATTCCTAGAGTGTGAGTTTGAAGAACTGGGAGAATGGTGTTGCCACTCTCCATAGTAATCAGGAAGGTAGGGCAAGTAGGAATAATTCAGAGGGAAAGATAATGAGTTCCATTTTGGACATACTGAATTTAAGAAGCCCACTGGACTTCTAGTTTGAGATGTCTGAAAGGCAATTGGAGATGTGAAATTGTACATCAGCAGAGCGATTGGGGCAGGATAGGTAGATTTGAGAATTATCAGCATAGAAATGGTAATTAATCCATGTGAGCTGATGAGATCATCAGGTAAAGTACTATAGAGAGAGAAGAGAGTGAAGCACAGAACCCTAAGGGATACATAGGGTTATAGGGCATGATTTGGAAAAAAAAAATAATAGTCCAGCAAAGGAGACAGAGAAGCAATCAGATAGGTAGGAGGAGAACCAAGGGAGTGTGATGGCCCAGAAACCTAGAAAGAGAGAGGATCAAGGAAGAGAGACTGATTGATCAAAAGTATCAAAGACATCAGAGAGGGCAATGAGAAGTGAGAAAAGTCCATTGGTTTTGGTAACTAAGAGATCATTACTAACTTTGGAGAGAACAATTTTGATGGAATAAGACTGGAAGCCATATTGTAAGAGCTTAAGAAGAGAGTAATAGGAGAGAAAATGGAGGCACTTACTGTGGATAGCTTTTTTGAGGGTAGAAGAAGTATAGGATGATAGATAGTGAGAATGGAAAAATCAAGTAAGAGGGTTTTGTTTGCCAGGCTAGTGGAGATTTGTGCATGTTTGTAGACAGTAGGAAATGAACCAGTGGACAGGGAGAGATTGAAAATAAGTGAAAGAGTGGGGATGACAGAGCTGGCAATTTATTGGAGGAGACAGGACAGAATAAGATCACTTGAACAAGTATAGAGGTTAGCACTGGTAAGGAGTAGGGCTACTTTATCATGAGAGACCAGAGTGAAGAAGTAGAAAGAGGCAGAAGACAGCTGAATGACAGGAGATAAGGAAGAGGGGAGAAGAGGGAATTCACAGCAAATGGCCTCAACTTTTCTATGAAAATATATGAGGCAAAGTTCTCAGCTGAGAAAGTGAGGGAAGGGGGAGCCATAGGAGGTTTGAGGAGGGATGAAAAGGTTTGGGAGAGCCTCTGTGGAGACTGGGATGAGTTGATAAGAAAGGTTCAGTAGGATTGCTAGAAGCCTCAAGGGCCCAGGTGAGGTTGTGTAACTCAAATTTGTAGTGAACCCAGTCAGAACATGTGAGTGATTTTCTCCACCTTTGTTCGGCAACTGGTATGTAGGAACAAAGGTGAGAAATGGCTTGGCTGAGCATAATTGGTGACATGTTAAGGGGGTGAGGAATTCAAGAGAGGAGGATAGTGTAGAGTTGAGTTGGTTCACCAAGGGTCAAGAGCTGGATAGGGATAACATCAGAGAAAGAGTTTTGTTTTTGTTGCTTTGTTTTGATTTGGTTTGGAGGTGTTTTCTTTTACTTTAGGTTTTTTAGTTTTGTGTTATTTTGTTAGGCTATAGTAAATGACTGCTTAATCACAGGAATTTAGGGAAACAAGAGTTCTGAATTTTCTGGTCAAAGAACTAAATAAGTATCAATTCATAGGATCTTCAGTTTGGAACTAAAAGAGAGGTAACCTAGTTTGACCTCCTTGCTTTATAGGTAAGGAAACTGAGGCCCAAAGAGGTTGACTAACTTATCTCAAGTTATATGGGTGGCATAGCCAAGATCTGAACCCAAGCTCTCTGACTCAAAAACCAGCTCTTTTTCTACTAAAACTGTTAAGTTCTATTAGATTAGGGCCCTCAATCTCCATGATTCTGGGATGATAAAGACTGGCATTGGCCTCAGTGTTTGCTTTGTAAATTACCCAGAAGCTGAGGATGAAAGAGATAAGGAGTTTTGACCATGAGTCTGGATCAGTAGATACAAGTCTCCAGGGGCTGAAATGAACTCACAACATACACCAGCTCTGTAACTTTTATTCAAAATAGTGAAGGATGAAATAAACCCAGATGCTATGTAACATGCCCTCACTTCATCTGAAGCATTTACTGGAGGTCCAGTCTGGGCAACAGTATGCCTTTGTCTGAGGCTCTTGTCTCTTCCATAAGGCCTGATGTAATAGTCCTTGTTATGGATGATGGTAGGCCTTTGTCATTTGAATAAGAGGACTAGGTTAGCTATTATGGCTTATTATAACTTTCCCCATCTGTTTGCTATGTTGAGCTCAGATTTCTGTATTACTCTTGGGTTTACAACCAGCTTTATCATAATAACCTTGTGAGGTCTTTCCCAATGAGGAAAAGCAGTTTCAGAGAAGGAAATTGAAGTCCTGGGTCACCAAATAGTTAAATACTCTAACCAGGACTTGATTCCATATGTTGAAATGGGCAGAATATGGGACTTGGAGCCAAGAAACCAAAAAGACATGGTTCAAATTCTGTTTCCTCACTTGTAAAATCAGGATATAATAATAATGGTACTACCTTCTTCTTGGGATGGTATGAGATTCAAATGAGA